AAGTCGAATACGCCCAATGGCTCGAGACAGAGTACCTGACGGAACCTTGGGATTTATGGTTTTACAGTGCGAGCGATGCGCCAGGGGTTGTCCCGAATCAAAATCCTATTGAATCGCATCATCGGAAGATAAAGGCTACTGCAGTAAGCCATCTTCGGGCCGCAACAGGTCACGTTTTGGCAGGGACTCTGCCCAAAATATTGATAGCAAATGCTATGGATATTGGCACAACCAATTCGGCATTTCGCATCAGGACCTGTGCATTCTGACCTGCTAATGACCGCTATGCCACTGTGCAAAGATGGTAACCACCACCCGAAACACAAACGAAAAAGTTCCCGTGAACTCAGCAAAATTGATCGGTACTTCTTCAACGCTGACCCCTACGTAGTGCGAGACGATAACGCCCTTGGAGTCAAGGTAGATGGGTATAGAACTCGGACCTACAAAGGCTCCCTTGAGGGGGTTCTTAGGCGAAATGAGACCGTGGAAAATATCCCGCTGAAGTATCTGTCGCTCCACGCTGTAAAGGTTATGGCACAGTTTCCAGTCCGCCATGATTGGGACCCCCCGTCATGGAGTGTTCACGAAATCGAACGCATCCGGAACAAGTACAAATGTGACTGCAAGGAGTTCTACCAAAATGGGTGGTTGTGTGCGCATATCCTGGCGACTCTACATCTCGTTGATTCGCTTGACTTGAAGATGATGCTTCGCAATTTTCCGGCCCGTAAACCTCCGGGGCGACCACGGAAGACGACACGGTGCCTCGATCGCGACGGCACAAGAAAATCTCAGTATTCGGTCAATGCTTTGGTTAAGCGATTGACGGAAAAGCCGGCCAGTGCGATTAACTGGAGTATTTTGACAATGCAAACTTCCAGCGACGAGGAAGGCGAGGAAACACAGCGTAACTACATTGGCAAAATCAAACCTTCTTTCATGCGCGGCGGTAAATGGCACTGGGATATAGAGTACGAAGAACTGGGAGCAGCGCCACCGATGCAAATTGAAGAGCTGGCCAGGACGATCAACTACTCGTTCCAGATGGGGCACAACTTAGTGCCCAACTAGCGTTACTCTACGCCTGCATGGATAATGCATCCTTGATTACGTAAAAGTACGAACAGAAAAACTATAAAACTAACCCAAAAATAAAATAAAAAAACTTGCATGGAAACACTGTCATACCCTTGCTCATACAATTAAGCCGAATATCAATGTATGTTTAGCCCATGTCATACAATATAGCCGCTTGTCATAGAAAAACGCCTCACCGTCATAAAAAAGAGTCAAAATGACACGTCTTAGAAAGTAGCCGAAAGTATCATAAAAATAATCCGCACCCGACTCAGTTGATAGCTGACAGTTTGTGTAAACAAACAGCATTCGTTCCTTGGTCGCTGTATCTTCTATCGGTGAGTTGCCGCTGTTAGAAACCACCAACTTTCCCAAATTTTGACAATGCGATGTCGTTTGTCTTGTGTACAACAGCAAGCAACTCTCTTTCTCGACCATTTGCAGTGATTTCCTTCAGTTGCTCTTCCAATGGTTGCTAGCTG